GGCACCTTCGTAAAGTGGTGGGCGTCATAAGCGCGAACAAGCTTTACGCCAACATCGACTAGTTCTTCTTTGCGTCACCAGAGAGCATGGTTCTTGGTTGTTAGCAGCGTTGGCGTTCGGACTGACCCAATCAAGGTCACGGCCATTGCAGTCAGGCCGACGCCCCGATCGAAGAAGGATAGTCGATAGTGGTTGAGCTTAGCAATTCCCTCCACAAGTACAGCACGGGTACGCGGGCCTCACTAAGGCCTTGTAGGGCTCCCTAGAAAGGACGTAGGCAGGTGCCGAAAGCAAGCGCACCAGGGTGCCTTTGCAATCGGTCTCAAAGAGTCTCCTGTCCTGGCTCTGCCGGACGAGACGACGCTGTTCAGCGTCATCTGCGATGCCTCTCACTGTGCAATCGGTTGGGCATTGCTGTAGAATAATGCAGCTGGCCATGATCTAGTCCGCTCGCTCCAGTTCAGGCAGCTCAATGCAACCGAGCGGGACTACCCTATCCATGCCAAGAAGCCCCTGGCAATGAAATACGCCCTCGTCATGTTTTGGGTACATCCTCTGGGATCAAGGCCCTTTGTGATTTACGCAGACCACCCATCAACGCGGACAGCGACGAATTTGCCTCAACGGATAGCAAATTGGCTGTCCTTCTTCACGGAGTACAACTTCCGCGTCGAATACAAGCCGGGCAAGCTCCACGTGCTAGCTGACGCCCAGTCTCTACGTCCGGACTGCGATTTGGTCTATATCACACGGGTAACAACGGAACTCTGTGATTGGATACGCGTGTCGTATCGAGAAGACGAGGCAATCGTCAGATTCCTGGCGGAAGGAACGAACACTACGTCCGACTGCATTTCATCGCGACAGCGTTCCCGGGTCCACCGATATAAGCTGAAGGCTGACCTCCTATACTACCGGGTGGAGCCTGGTGATCTTCCACTGGTGGCCGTACCCAACGACGAAGACCTGAAGGTTGGCATCTTCGCAGAGGCGCACGATGCGCCTTCTAGTGGCCTCTTGGGCCGTGAGACGACTTTTGTATCGGTTTATCAGGCCTTCTGGTGGACCCACATGTCGCCAGGTACGTGAAGACAAGCGAAACATGTCAGTGGGTCGAATCGGCAGGGCACGCTCCGGCTATTTTGCAGAGGCTACTCGTACCTACTGGCTGTTGGAAGGCGATGAATCTATACTCCATCTTTATGCTTTCCGCCGACGGACTCGACAACACCGGGATTTTGGTGCTCGTGCATCGGCTGAGCAGGATGGTGCATCTTGTTCATGTGCCCGGTACCATCACAAGCGAACAAATCGCAAGGTTGCTCGTCGATGGCGTGTTCTGCGATCACGGTCTCCTGGAGACAATTGTCGCAAACCGAGACCAGCAGCCCACCGCTGCGTTTCAGGAAGACGCTGTATCATTTGCTTGAAACTCGTCCGCAGATATCTACTGTCAACCACCAGGAAAAGGGCGTTAATCGAGTGCTCGATGACACACGGCGCAGCGTGTGCGCCGGATCCCCACGTACGTTGTCCGCGCAGCTTCTGGTTGTTGAGTCCGCGCTTAACAACCCGGCACACGCGTCCACAGGGCTCACGCCTTTTTTATCTGAATGGCTTCTGTCACCCCAAAGTGCCTCTCACGCTTCGAGGATACGCTGTGTCATCTACCTTAAGTGAGGGAGAGGAACGAAAAGCCCTATCCTTCCACATGGGGGACCAGTTTCGCTGTGAAACCAAGTGAAGCCCTCTGTGGATACCAAGCTGAGTCTGATCAGCAGGGTCCGCAATGCAGTGGTAGCGGCTCAGGATTGACAAAAGTTCTCGGACAAATATGAAAGAAGAAACTTAACAGTGTTAAAAGTGGGTGAATTAGAACTACTCGACACTATGAATCTATCGCTAGACACTGTGGGCTCTGGCGACAGCAACAAGCTGAAGCACTGCTTTATCATACCGTTCGCGGTCCAGGCCGGACACGTTGCGCCGTACACCGTCGACCTACCGAAGCTAACGACGACGCGCCCGACGCTCTACGTTGAACGGCTTAAGCGGTGCAAAGGTGTTGCTGTTGCAGACCCACCCTGGACCAGCTCCTCGAAGCGAGGTCCGTCCACAGACGTAGACGAGGACGCGGCAGCAGGCGCCCAAGGCTCGTGCTGGACGGCAAGGCTCCGGTCGAGACCGTACGCCGGAGGGGGGGGGCGTCCGAACAGGTCCCAGAGCCATTCGCCGAGTACGTCGGGTAAGCACCATACGCGTACGGCTGGGAGTGCGCCAGAGGCGGCTCCGGATGTTGTAGCAGATTCGCAACACGTTGGATCATACGGAAGGCCTGGTCAAGATCGGCGCCGCACCGAGTCCCTCCTTAGAGCTTCAAGACTTGTCGTAAATAGCCCGAGAACCGAGGTGGTATCTGCCCTCTCTAGGCCTACCCCTGTGGGCTTCTCGAGAGCTGGCCTAGCCGGAGCTAGTGCGGTACTCACCCTTGGGGCTACGTGAACTCCATGATGAAGATCAGCTGCCATCTCGCATCCGGGACCAGCGTGATCTTCGGGTACGGTTCACCCACTTGATCAGCAAGCACATACTGCCAATAGACACTTTGAAGCACGGCTTTTTCAATATGTTAGATAACCTTAGCTACACGAATCCTTCGACAGTGGGGAACCCATAAAATACCCGACTGGGTGCTACCCACCTGGGATTTTTCGATGGGGGGGTCAAGAAGCAACCCTGCACCCGGCGGGATCGGCAGCAGAATGATTGAGTTAAAAGAAGGTGGCGAATCGCCGGTGGTGGTGTGGGCAGCGGTGACAGCGCTTAGCAACAAGCGAACCACCAACAATGTGACACAGTTTGTCGGACTGCATCGACTGCTCAAGTGACCGGAAGAGCAAGGGTGGACCCACTTACACGTGTTGGGGGCAGCCCCGTGATCTTAGAACTAAGAGTCGACGACAAGTGCCCAAAGTTTGTGCATTGCAATTCTTGTACTTGCGGGCGAGGCAGCTCGCCGATGAATGTCAAGTGCTGAGTTTTAAACATCACTACATGCGATTTAACAAGACAGCAGACTGGCTAGCGAATTACGCGATGGACGGGAAAGTCATAGTAGATTACGCCAAAGTAGCGCGGGTGGACCATCCATTACTGGAGGGGTAACGGCAATTCACGAGCATAGATGCTCGGTGGTGGCTTGAAGACGAGAATGAGAGGTGAGAAGGCCAGCGCACGACAGCGGTAGAAGGATTGACAGAGGGTGGGAGAGATAGGGAACGATGACATTAGCTGAGTAAAAGTAGTTAGCGAAGAATGGGTATTAGAGTTCAAATAGCAACTTTTGCGAAGCAAGAAACACAATAACCTCACAACTATAGCAAACCTATGCCAGCACCCGGTGGCAGGGCTGACCCAGCTTCGGCAGTCGACGCTGGATGGAGATAGAGCCCTTCGTATGGTCATTAATAGTGCGTTAGCAGCCCCCTTTCCATCTAGACCAAGCAATGACAGCCAAGGACATGGCACGTTTCGCCGACATATTACATGTATGGGATATGGAGTATCCGTGGCTACCAGATTTTCAACTTCAATGTTGATGAATCCAAGTTCACCAGAGCTGCAAATTTCGGTGTGACGTTTCCCAGAAAGTATCCGTTTCTCGAGCTTTCCAAGATTTTCACGTTTTAAGGTAAACAATCTGAGATCCGAACAACTAACTAGATGGGTTCGCTTACGCATATAATACTTGATACGCTATGCATAATGCTCGGTTTCCTCGGACAAGATGGCGAAGATGTCGCTAACCAAGAGAGGAAGGCTACTTTTTTCTGTTCACGAAACGTGCATCGTTGCTCTAGGCTCAGTTTAGTTTCTTGGAGGAAGGCTTGTAGCTTTGTCGACCCCAGTTTTTATTTTGCTTCACTCGAAACCCACCACTCCACGCCTGAGTTGCGCACTCAATGAAGTTTACATGCCCCACACGATTGGGTTCATTTAAAATGATATTTCTAAGCTAAATCATATCCCCTTCCCAACCATAATCACTGCTCGATGCAAGCACACCCATGCCATGAATACGCATACGCTACTGGTCGTCATGAAAGTATGTCAAACACGCTTTTATCCAGGACGATACGACGCTTTAGCTCACTTCTGAATTTCTCAGCACCAACGCACTCAGCTCAACGACCCCAATGGCCCGGCCAAACGCCAACCCCACGTCTTTCCGTATGACCTTTCCTCGGCAACTCTGGTCTGCTCGTGTCCAAGCTCGGACTCGGCAGCTGGATGGAATATGGTGAGACGAAAAGCCCAGAACTCTGGTACGAGATCATGAAGACGGCGTTTGAGCATGGTATCAGCTTCTTCGACAACGCGGATTCGTACGGCATGGGCCTCGAAGAGGAGTACACGGGAGCTGCTATCAAGATGGGCATCCAGGATGGTACGTGGAAGCGTGAGGGCCTCGTGGTCGCCACCAAACTCGGTATGGGAACGAAGGGTTTCCACGGAGACCCGGGTCTTAACGACCAGGGTTTGACTCGCAAACACATCACCAAAGGCTTGAAGGCGTCGCTCAAGCGGATGGATCTGGAGTACGTCGATGTTCTCTACTGCATTCGACAGGACCCGTACACGCCCCTCGAAGGGTGCTAATTTTTTTCTGTTGCTCAATTACTGAATGATATGTTGGCACTGTATTTGTAGGAATAAATGTTGGTCACTCTGAACGGCTGTTGTAGGAATGTTTTTAGTCAAACAACACAATATCAGTCCTGAAAAAGAGCAACAGGACATAAGTAAGTAATTTATGAAGTGCTGTTACAGTACTGGTAGTAAAATAAATGTATTCTTGCTATCTGTTGGCAGGATGTAGGCGTTCTTCCTGAGTTCCAAGCGCGTAAGCTCTGCGAATGGCGTGGGCTAGCTCTTCCACTTGGTATTCTAATGAGCCACCATGGATGAATGCCACGCTCCAGATATACACCCCCTCTGTTTCAGATAGACGGCACCCTGCTACGATGCTCTTTGTAGGTCTTTCCTTTGTCTTTAACGCCGAACTCTTGGACTACAGGCCATTTAAGGGGCCTACCAGGATTCTTTTTAAACAGCTCAATCAGTCGATCGACGTCATACATATCCGATTCGCGCTGTAGCGCTCCGACAATCGCGCGCGGGCGTCCAGGAAGCCCACGCATCGGAATTGCCGCCATGGCTAGCCCAATCTTGATCTTCCCTAGCAAGTCCAGAGACGCAACCACGTATGCACATATCCACCCCGTGTGCATGTAGTTTTTACAGGTGCTGCGGAGAGCACTACGAACAGCTTGAATCTGTAAAATAAAAGGAATTATTATAAAAACTGTTATAATTTAAGTTTAGCATAAGCACGTAAGAAAACTCACATCGTCGTAGTGCCACTTAGCACGTAGTGTCAGGGGGGTCATGTCCTCAATTAGACGATCATCCACAATGACTTGCTGCAAGGAGAGAAATTGCACCTCCGCCGTTTCAATTGATTCCTCTTCGCCTAGATTCCCCGTCAAAGACTGCTTGAAACTGCCACACTCAAAGACAACGTGTTAGAATATAAGCAAGATGAACGCTTACAGCCACTCACAGTTTTGTACGCTCGGTCGTCACCTTAGCAGCGGCTAAGTTGCTTGCAGCAACCTGCATCACCATTGTCCTCTCGCTGTTGAAAAGGATTCTTGAGCGACCAATTGTTTTCGCCTTGGCAATGCGATGATTACTGGGGTGGAGCAACTTGTCTTTCGCTTGTATGACGGCTGCGCCGTTAAGTGACCCTGCATGCCAACAAAAAATATTAATAAAAACTAAAAATGGTCGTTAATAACTGAGCAATTCCCACTTACCTTCTGCAAAGTGACGGTGTTGATCGAATGCAAGATTAGTAGAATCATACAGAAGGACTCTAGGCAATACAGAGTTTAGGGCCGTTATGGTCGGGGCTTTCTTGTAACCCGTAACTATGACTTTTATCACACGACGATGGCTTTCGATAGGCTGTTGTGTGGGCAGGAAGCCAGGTATTGTGGAGCTATTCACACTCCAACGCTCCCAGCGTGGTGTCAAATAAACGTTTTGAAGCCACAATGCCAACGCATTCTCGCCGTGCGATTCCCAGTTCTTAAGTACTCGCTTGGACAGTGATCTAAACTGTTTTAGTGACCTGCACTTGTGGAGTAGACGTATGTGAGGCTTAACCACGTCTTTAATGAACCCCTACTTTTCTCGAGTCGGATGTGCTTGTTACACCGACGTAGTAGATGCTCATAACATGTGAGAATCTCGACAGCAGGCCATACCAATTTGAGTGCCGACGCAATTGCGTCCGAGTGATCTATGCTTGCACTGTGGATGCGCACGTCTACATCGAAAAAACGTTTTGTGTACTTCACTAAAGCACCAAACATCCGTTCATACGCTAATGTGCTCTCAGGGCGCACAAACATGTAAAACCAATCCATGGACGGAAGCGTTGAACGTATCCTGGTCCGGAGCGCTCAACAGAAATGCCACCGCAATCTACAAGAGTCCAACCCCCAAAATGGATCATATAGGTCCCATCCGTAGATAAAACTAGAGTATCACCTTGGTCTCGAACGGCCCGACGAACATTTTGGAGAAGTGCCCTTGATGTCACTACCAAACCTATAGAAGGGACCGAGACTCCGTTAATTTCAACAGAATGTTCAAATTCATCCAAAACGATCATAGTGTTCATTTCAGCAACGTCGTTTTCATCCACGCAAAAAACGTCGGCACGATCCTGGCAAAGCCTGGTACTTGTCCAGATTTTTAATGTGACAAACCTGGTAATTTCCCAGCCCTCTCCAGCTTTCTTTTTGAGATGAGCTTTACGGTTCTTCATTTTTTGGTCTCGGGTATCAATGCCAGCATACAGCATACTTGGGTCACGAAGGTACTTAAACATCATCATGTTGCGAACACGACCAGCAGACATCCCAAGTTTCAGTAGTGCGTCGATTTCCGGTTTGATCACAGGTGATTTACCTCTAGTCCGTAAGTTGACAGCGGCACCAGTGTGTTGGCCCTTCTGGAGTACCTGAAACCGCATTCCTAGCTCACCGGCGTGGTGTGCAATTAGTTTAATGCTGTGATGGCAGTCTTAGTGTGATCGACACAGGTATTCCTTGCCAACACGAAATGTCGAGGTATATCTAGTTTTGTATGTGTATACAGACTTATTTAAGCGGTGCAGATTCTTTTCTGCGTCCTCCTCAGTGTCGGAGTGCCCAACACTTACGTATACCGATACTTCAGCAAAAGTACTGGTATTCATAGACAGAGCGTCCTCCTCAGTGTCGAGGGAGGAGTCAGAGTCTTGTTCTTCATCGTCTCCAGTGTCACCTCCGTCGGGAATGATAATGGCGCTGGCAATGGCAGCTTCGTCGCTTCCGATGCTCTCCACAAAATCATCTCCGAGGTCCAACGCTTCTTCACCGGAATTCTTAGCGCTGGGCATGTCTACATTGGACGATCTGATCGTCCTTAATGTCTCAGACAAGTTACATCAAAGGAGCTGAGTTGGGCTTCACAGTGTCGGTTTGTAGTATTGTGCGCTACGTCGTCGGGTGCGTCTGTAGTTCTGTACATATCATCGCCGGCTGACGCGGTCGTGCTATACATGTCGGCGTCATCATCTGCGGCAAAAGGGCTTTGTACGCCTGAATCGCAAGCCACGTCACCATACTCCAAGACCTCGGTAACATCGCTGTCATTGCTGGGGGGGGGCGGCCGACTGCATGTAAGTTTGCACGTGGGTTTCACAATGGCTTCAGAGGTGAAGGGGGGGGGTGCTATGATGAAACTGACTTGATTCCGACCAATGACAAACAACAGACCGTCATCACTAAACTTATGTTACTCGTTAAGGCAACAGTTATTCATAGCCTTCCAACAAAAGTTCAGACAGGGCAACAGGTTTTCATACAAATATAGTACCAACAGATCAATCAGTATTTGAGCAACATAAATTAAGATTATTCCCCCCTCGAAGAGACTGTGCGATCCATGAACTACGTCATTGAACGGGGTTGGGCCTTTTACTGGGGCACCAGCCAGTGGCCTGCACCACTTATCATGGAGGCGTGTGAGATCGCTGATAGTCTTGGTCTCATCTCCCGAGCGGTGGGGCAATCCTGCACCACGAATATCTTCACTTGTACAAGAAGTACAAGCTGCGCTTAACAACTAGGGCTCTTCTTTCGAGTGGAATTATCTCAGGTAAACATGCCGACGGAAATGTCAAGAGAACAGCAAAGATTGATTTTTTTGTGCTGCTCGTGCCGGAGGTCGCGAATCCGGATGGAACGGAGAGGCGTCGTACCAATTTTCTGCAGACTTGTCAGCTCTACCCTGCAGCAATATATTGTAAATCCGACCGACTTTGCCGGTTTGGCTCTATTCAATAAATCACTCGCTTACAAACGTTCTGATGCTGTACTTGAGTGACCGTATCTCGTACTTAAGTAAAAAATGAAACTTTTAATAAGTAAATATGTCATTGCGTGGAAATTTTAAGTAGACCTCACAATAAAATATGTAAAAAAAATGCAAGCCAATAATATCACTGAGTCTCAGTTTTTGGTCAGTCCATCTAAAAATGTGTTTATTTATAAAACTACAGCTTTAGAAGGTTTTAGAATACCGGTACTAGATAAATAATACCTCGAAGTAATTGACTTCTTTCATGAAAACGAAAACGATAATTACAAATTAATTATGTGTTGAAGTAAAATGACGAACGAATCAGCTCTCTTCTTGGTCACTCATCAACTCTTCCACGCGAGACTTAGGCTCACTTCTAATCTCGCTAAGCAGGTGCATCATGGTGTGGCGTGACGTCCGAATAATCAAGCGACTGGGGCTTCGCGCTCCTCTATTTCAATCCCCCATGGCCGGAGCGCAAACCAGCGAACTTGCCATCGCTGTAGCCCGTGGAGGGGGTCTGGGTGCAATCCCCTGCGCGCTCTTGTCTCCTGATGCAGTCCGCGAGCATGTGCAGCTTTTCCGAGCTGCTACGAAGAGCTTTTCAGCTCCAATTAACCTCAATTTCTTCTGCCACACACTTCCTCCGGCCAACCCGAAGGCGGACAAGCAATGGCAAGACATCCTTACACCATACTACCGAGAATACGGAGTAGATTTGACTCACCTAACAGCTAAAGGAGCATTGCGTATGCCTTTCGATGAGGTGAGTCTTGACCTGGTTCGAGAGCTCAAGCCGGAAGTCGTCAGCTTCCACTTCGGATTGCCATCTCCCCACATGCTTCAGGGTGTCAAAGATACCGGTACACTCGTCATCTCGTCAGCCACTACTGTACGCGAGGCACTCTGGCTAGAAGAGCGAGGGTGTGACGCTGTCATCGCGCAGGGTCTCGAAGCAGGCGGCCATCGCGGTGTCTTCTTGTCGAGAGAAGATAGTAAACCAGTGTTTAACTCACTCGAATACCGAAACAACTCAATGGATCAGCGGGAACGATGTCTTTAGTCCCTCAAATAGTGGACGCAGTAAAGATCCCGGTGATTGCAGCGGGAGGAGTCGGCGATGCTCGTGGCGTCTTGGCTGCTAGTGCACTGGGAGCCGCAGCAGTGCAAATGGGTACAGTGTTTCTACTCGCAGACGAAGCGAAGACGTCGCTTTTGCATCGGAAAATATTAAAACGTGCTGCTAATGTTACCGGCGATCAAGCTGTGGAGACGGCTATCACGAATATATTCTCCGGTCGACCTGCCCGAGGGCTCGTGACGCGTGTGATGCGAGAGCTGGGGCCGATGTGTGCTGCAGCGCCGGAGTTCCCGACTGCTGGAGCACCCCTTGGAGCTCTTAAGAAGGCTGCGGAGGCTAAGGGAGATACAGCGTTCACGTCTCTATGGTCGGGCCAATCTCCTGGCTATGCACAGGAGAAATCGGCCGAGATTATTGTGCATTCGATTATCAAAGAGCTAAAAAAAATCACGGCGAGTAGCTCTTTGTAGGGTTGCAAGTTTGGTCACAAGCAACGGCGGTGTAGGATAATGCGTCCTAAGACACGTCCTAAACTGTCCTATTTGTCCTAAATTTTACAGGGAGATTTTGGAGATGTGTCCTAAAAAGCGACTAATCCTTCGTTACAGAATATTATAATTTGTGTCCTCCAGATTGTCCTAAACCTCAAATAATAACTTTTTCCGGACTATCTACGTAAATTTACGTAAGAGTTACTTAAAACTCACATTGGCTTTACTTATTGTCCTGGGGCACACCAACCATTTCTGAATCTCCCCAAGCATCATGGACCATCGCGGCTACTCCTTCTGGAGCTAGGGCGCTCGTCTATCTGGCCTCTGCTGCCACCTGCGGAAGCAATGTCTTGTCCGCTCTGCTCACGAGCGCGAACGTTCAACAGTGCGGCACGGACCACTGAGATCCCGGACCAGGCCACCATTGACAAGATGTGCGCCTCGACTGCCTGCAACACCCTGCTCGCTGACGTGAAGGCCATGAACCTGGAGGAGTGCCAACTGCCGGTCGGTATCAGTTCCAACCTGAAGGCCGACCTGGTAGTCTACGCGCCGTCCAACTGCTCATCGACGTCGGCTCCAAGCCCGGACTCGCCTGCCACAAACGCACCTGTTGTCGACATCCCGACGACGCCAGACAACTCGACGAACCAGGCCGAGCACACTGCCGCGCTAACCAAGACCCCCATCGCTTGCTAACCGCGTCTTCGGGTCGACTTGCAGCCAAGTAGCCCTTGCGAGTACTTTGCTGCTTTTTGAGCCCCCCCCTACATCGCTACGTTCCGATTATTAACCGTCGTTTGCTATGTGTATGTTGAAGTCGCTCAACCGTTATTAGCGGCTATTATGACCTTCAATGACTGTCATCCTTTGAAACGCTTTAAAAATATTGTCACACACTTTGAAGTAGAAAAGTTTCGTTGAGGTGCTTTTCGCGCACAACAAAGAGTCGGCTGCTCTTGGAGAGAGGGGCGTTAGGATGATTATTGTTTCTAGCTAGGCCAGTTGAGGATGTTTTGAGGACAGTACATGTTGGGCTTGGTGTTGTCCTAATAGGACAGTGGTCTGAGTTGCAGTCTGTCCTAATAGGACAGCTGAGTGTCCAGTTGTCGAGTGTCCTATTAGGACACGCGGACCGTGGCTTGTTTCGTCCTAAAACTCATTGTGTTGTCCTAAATATCGGTTTTTTTATGAGCCGAATTGCTAGTTTTTTATCCCAGGTTTTAGGACAATAGGACACTTTAGGACTCCTAGTAGGGAGGAAATACCATCGGTTAGTAGAAAACTACTGATCTGTCCCCAACGCGGCGCAGAAAAGACGGCAATCAGTAGAAACTGATAAAGTTCGATCCGTACCTAACTCTAATCATAACTACATTTCTGCTGCCTTCAGCAAAACCGCTTTTGCCCTAAGCGTACCATGCCTCGAAAGCCGCCTCCGAATTATGGGAGTTCTCCCTTCGTGGTAGATCTTTCTGACATCGCTACAGCTAAAAGCATGGGTGTTTTGAGGGAGGACGCAAAAGTTGATGCTCCAGCCAAAAGTATGGGGGAGTATACGCGACGCGAGCCAATATTGCAGACACTGAGTTTCCAACACAAATAAGGAAACTAACGACACAAACAATTGCAATCGTTGACTGCTGATTAATAATTAAGGTATTTCTTTCCAATAGATTATCTTACTGATCCTCACTCTCAATAAATATCAGCAGCAAACGGACTGGGGAGTCAATCTCTGTGAGTAGATAGAACTCTACTAACGTACCCTGAGAGTAACCAGCTGGATACGTCGTGTACCCAGCTACTTCAACGTCAACATGTTAATTCGGTGTACTATTTTTTAGCTGCTCAAAACGCCTTTATTTATATGGTTGTTTTTGTGGAGTGCACTTCGGTGGCATTCGCCATTTTGGTCGATGCCTCCGCTCAACCCCCGACAGCGTCACGCCCAAACGATCCAGCGCCGTCTGGACGGCTCCTTTTGGCAGCTTCGTCTAAGCAGAGAAGTTAGCATACCGAACGAAGTCGACCGAGAGCTGGACGCCGAGCGTGCATCGTCCATAGGTGGTGGGTTACGTGACGTTGTCAGTAGAGGAGGAGGTCTTTTGGCAAACGAGCGCCGAGCTCGTAGAGGAGACAATGCTCAGCTCTTCGAGATAGAAAGAATATACGCCAAACGGTGGGTCAATAACTTCGTATACTACCTTATTCAATGGGTGGGGTACACAGAGTTGACGTGGGACCAACGTGCCAGCGCGCCTAAAGATGGTGTTCGAACACGAGTCAGTCAATTATGTCTGGGTCTATCAATCTACGCAGGGAAGACGAACCCAGCGTCGCGAGCAGCCAACGCGCCGGAGTCAGAGACTGATAGACCAAACGAGGCAGGACTAAGAGAAAATGCAAATGCGAACTTAATACCAAACGAGGCAGAATTAAGAGAAAATGCAAATGCGAACTTAACAGCACCCCAGTAGCTGTGAAATCAGTAGTTGTGCAGGCAGCGCCGCGTTGGGGACAGATCAGTAGTTTTCTTCTGACCGATGGTATTTCCTCCCTAGTAGGACGCATTCTCTCCTACCGCAACGGCGATTAAGTCAACACTTGCAACTTGTTTACAAACTTATTACAGTAGACTCGTCAATATTGACAATAATTCGTTGACCTTTTACAAGTTTCAACCTTTTAAAAACCACGGCGAATTCTTGGGGCGAGCACGAAGTGGATCGAAGGTTTTGCTTCGAGTTCTGTCGCCCTGAAGTTGCAGCGCAGCGCCAACTATAACACGCGAACTGGTTGTCGCATCTGACTGATTGACGTTGGATGCACGACGCTTAAATTTGGGCTCTTCACGCTGGTTTCCATGCCCAATCCCACGTTTACCCGCGTTGTCTCTGCGCTGAAACTCTCCGTCGTTCTCCATCATGACCGTGTGGAACATGTGCGCGTTCTCAGTCATTAGTTTCTCTCGGTCTTCGTCCAATTGACGCCACTTTTCTCTTGTCACCTCCTCCGACACAAACAGATCTTTTTGTTGCTGTAGTGCCGCCTGTCGCTGCTTGAAGCACATGACTCGCCACGCAAAGTCCCGGTTGTCTTGGTATCGCTTCAAGGCCACACCCGACACTTTCGTCGTTGCATACAGCTGTTCGAACCGCTCGAAGTCCTCATTCTCCAGTCGTGTTCGTTCCAGCCCCATTTTGTAGAATCTCCGCTCGTACAAAGCTCTCTGAGCTTCACTTTGAAATTTGCCTGACAATTTCTCGTCCGCGTCAGCTTCTTGTAGCTTTAGCTTGAAAACTCGGCGTTCGAATGGGTCGAAATGGTCAAAGTGGTCGTATGCGGGTGCTTTCCCGTTCGCTGGAGTTGCAGCAACCGACTCGACTCGAGGTCGGATACGTGGATCTCTTCGACTCCTTTTCGACGTCTCGACTGCTTTTGACATGGCAGAAAAGCTTGTTTCATTACTGTACACTGGCCGACTCGATCGAACCGGCTCCATTTCTTGAAGCCGTGGCTTGGTAGCATGGCAGTTGGTATTAACCTGAACACTGCTTCTTTCACCTCGTCGGTTTATCTCTTTCTGTGTTGCGGGGTTATCCCTTTGGCGCTGGTTGGTAGCTCGGCGGTTTATACCGGCAAATTCGCGTTGGCTTGAGCGACGCGGATCTGAATCCCTTTTGTCACCGCTGGAATTGCCATTGTTATGGGTTCTGTAGTCATGGTGGCCATTGCGATCCCAGCTACGACTTCGACTTCTGCTTCTGCGCGTTGAGTAATACGCTCGAGATACTGACGGGCTACGCGATCGCTTGTAGCTCCGTATCATCCTTCCCGAGTAACGTGGTGATCTGGATCTGGATCTTCGTCGTCTTTCATTAAATCGACGACTTGAAGGCGATCTGCTTGGACTTCTTCTAGAGAAACGCCTCAATGATGACGCACCTTGTTTGGGATTGCCAGATGCGGTTCGACGACTCGGTGACCGACTAAAATCCCTTCGACGTACAGATGGTGAGCGGCTTTGCTTTCTCCGACGTATTGATGAAGATCTACTATTACTTCTTCTTCGACTTGTCGGTGTCTTACTGTGTTCCGTTCGACGACTCAAAGAAACCTTTTCAAGCTCCGATTTACGCACTGACGGCGACTTGTTAGCTCCTTCTTTTTGTATCGATTGCGTCTTTTTCTCGTGACTTGACTTTGAGTGTGTGACGTTGTGGTGCCTCGGACTTGGCTTCTGGCTGGACGACTGGCTCGCAGTAGATTTCCATTTAGGTCGAGCCACCGATAACTCCTTTTGTAGGTCGCTCGACGCCCCTTCTACGTTGCTGGGTGAGCGGCGAAGACCTACAGCCACTGCCTTTGTCACTGACGCTGGAGGCGTTGGAGTCTTGACACACTTTAGCGAGATCAGTTTTGGCTTGACTTTGACCTCTTTCTTCTTCAATATCGCCATAGTTTTCTCTTGTTTCTCTTCTTCCTTGTTCTCAGTCGGAGATGCATTACTGTTCATTGTATCATCCGTCAACGGTTCTTCTCTTGGACCTTTTGTCACGTTCTGTGCCATTGCTAGTGCTTGCTGTACTGCATTGTCGTACACGGTACTTGATGCCGCTCCGTGGCTCCACTCGCTGCCCTGCGGCAACATAAGCTTCTCTGCATTTTGCTGTAACTGCCCGCATTCACGGTACTCCTGCTTTATCACAGTACTTTTATAATTACCGTGACTTGCTGACTCCTGCGTCGTTGGCGGGTCATGCTCATGCGTCCACGCGTACGCCGCCTCCTCCTCGGCCTCTTCTCGAGGATCGAAGTAGTACTCGCTCTCGGTAGAGCTTCCATCGTCGTAAGGAGCTGCTGGGGGCGTTGCGGTTGCCATGTGGGTTTCCACTCGGTAGACGCCACTCGAAAACTGGGGTACATGTACGCAAATGCTCATCACGTGGTGCTGAGAGGCCTACAAAAAGCAAGTTACAAGGATATCTTAGGGGTAGAGCAATACGGTACTACTTCAAGGTTGCGCCTTCAAATTTATTTTAAACCATCGCATTTGGATTGGATGAATCTGCTTGAGTTTTATGTACTTGTACATCACTTGAAGTCGAGTTTGTCAATCAGATCCGACACTTACGATAATGGTGCTGTTCCCCCTCCTTCTCATGCTGCTAGCGACAGCTTCAGCGCCCTCCGAGGCCAAGTGTGTGATGACACAGACGTGCGTGAACCCCGACAACGAGCCAGACTACGACAAGTGTATCCCCGAGGCGCACAAGGGACCTGCAGAACCGCAGTCCATGACTGGAGATGGCTGGCCGAGTGTTGTCGGTGGTGGCAACTGCACTACCGCTACCGACTGTAGTGGCAAAGGCCAATGTATCAGCGGCGCATGTGTATGCCGCAGAGACGGCATGGCTGCGGGTCCTCACTGCGATCAGTTTATCATCCAATGCCCTGCCTACAAAGACAGCGCCTGCTGCTCGTGGCAACAGAATCAAGCGATGGCCGAGAACTTCAAGTTGGTAGCGAGTGTCTTTGGCAAGAACAGCGCCGGAGGTTGCGACGCCTGTGCCGCCAACCTCATGAGTCTATGGTGCGGTCTAGTCTGTTCTCCCGAGCAGGATCAGTTCATGCAGATGGCTCACGAGTGGCCGAGTAATAACTACCGACCGGACCCCATGACTGGCAAGGAGAAGGTCAAGGTGTTGGAGCTGAATGTATCACTAGCCAAGGACATGACCTGTGCAATCTTTGACTCCTGCAAGAACACGGCTATGGCGTCCATGGCGGCCGCAATGAAGTCATCGTTGGGGTTTCTAAACTACCAGATGCAGGTGGGAGCGGTGGGTCACGGAGAATATATCACAATGGCATTCAACGCGAGCAAAGATCAGTCGTTCGACCATGACGTCCTCAAGTGCTCAAACTACTCTGAAGTTGCTGGCATCCGTGAGACGCTCCCAAGTCAAGCTCAACTGCTGGAATCTATTGCGTCCAAGTCGACGGACGACAAGCAGTGTCCGTGTGGTGCATGCCGAGCGACGTGTGATACCCATACGAGCTCGGGTAGCCACACCCACGTCGTCGACGACCCCATCTCAGTGTTCGCTGGCTTCGACACGAAGCTTGTGGCTGCTGCCTACGGACTACTCGTGATCCTTGCGTTTTCATGGAGTAGATGGAGAAATCATTAAGGCCTACGCGGTAAATAATAAATGCAAAGTATCCGCAGGATATTCTAAAACCAAGAAACTTTTTACTACATAGTAGCAGTATAACTTAGCAATCTTCCTTTCGATCACCTTAGACGGAGACAACAGCTCCACGTTGTCTGGACAGCTCTGTCGCCACAGCAGCGGCGTCTTCACCCTGCGTTTCCTTCAGCGTCTCGCGTAATACTGAGCACTGGATCTCTAAGCTTGCCACCAGCACCAGCAAGTCGTCAATTGTCGAGTCGTTGCTGGTATCTGACGCTGTAGATCTCCTCAAGGATGCGTGAGCGTCGTCATTCCCCACTGGGTTGACCTCTCCACCTTGTTGAATTGCCAGTTGCTTCTCAAGCTCCACCTTAGCGAGGAACAAGCGCGCCACCTCATTCTCCAGTTCTTTCACAGCCGCCTTCGCCTTGCGTCCAGTCTCTTTCTTGTCTAAGAACGCGCGAGCTAACTCGTCCTCGAGTTCGCGGATCATCGCGTTATACTTCTCCTTGTCACGTCGTGACTGCACGTCGTATCCTGCCACCAATTCCTGCAGGAACGAGGCCTGCTGGACCTTGGCTTCTCGGTCTTTCGCTACCGACTCCATTTCTACGACAAGAGCACGCAACTCCTTCAGTTCTTCGAGTTGAGTAGACACAAGCTCCTTTAGACGAGGATCCTCGGTATTTACCTCCTCTGGCGCTTCACTGGCCGTAGGTTCAGTATCACTCACCGGAGGACTCGCACGTCTCGCTTGTTCGACTTCTTGGATTCGTTGAACAAGGACCTGTTGGTCTTTCTCGTAAGCAGCACGTGCAGCAGCTTCCAGCTCTTCAACACGACGCTGTAAGTGTGCTTTGTCCTCCATTAGTCCGTCTACAAAGCTCTTGACTTCAGTGTCTGATGCTTCGCCACGCTTCGATAAAGCCTCAGCAAGCTGTGCCTTCAGTCTCTCATTGTCAGTCTTGACAAGTGATTGACCTTCGGTCAGCGTCTCGAGCATCTGGTTGCATTCAGCGAGCTGTTCGTCCTTCCGTTCACTGGCTACACGAAGTTCTTCAAGCTGTTTCAGAAGTCGAGCGTGTGCTAGTTCAACGTCACTTTTCTCCCGTAGAATTTGACTTGTCACACTCCCTTTACTTGCTGCAGCGTCACTACGCACTCGTCGATGGGCTTCTCGTTCTGCATCCAATTCGGCTTGCAACATGGTGAGCTGATCACTTATGTCACTTGAAGAAAGTAGCGCTGAGGTAGCCCCATCTATCGAGTGTGTAGCCAGAACCTGTTGATGCTCTCGTTCCAGCTGCTCGTACGCCATCGAAAGTCCATTCACGCGAGTCTCCATCTCGAGAACTGACGTCGCCATTGTCTCGTTTTTAGCTTCCAAAGCCGCTTTTTCTCGCTCTAATTGCTCGTGTTGAGTAGCGAATTGCTCCATCAATTGCTGCTCTCGATTTCGATCCGTGTTAGAGACTTCAGTAGTAACTCCTTGGCTTACTGAGCGTTGTTTGAGCTCTTCTACTTGTCGTTGCAGATCATGGATCTGCTTATCCTGCATGCGAATTAGATCCTGGTAGGCTCCCATCGCAGTGGGCGCGCCGGAGTCTCCAGACGCACGAGCAGATCTGCCATCGACTCCAGTGTAGATTGCGATGACGCGCTTCTGGATTTGCTCAGCCATTTCACGATAGAAGATCGTGAACGCTCGTTCATACAGCAGGAACAAGTAGTGAGTCTCCTCTTCACTTGATCCTTCATCAGCGTTGACGTCGCTTATGTCGTACGTTGCCCGGTAGGCCAGTAAAGCACGCGAGCCCTGAGTCTTGCTAGTTCTAGCACATGCTAGTATTGCAGGGGTTTGCTGGAACTGCACCAAGGCGTCTGTGAACCGCTCGAGACCCACGCGCTTGCTGATCATTTGCAGCAGTTGGTCTCGAGTCATCTGCAGTCCTGGCAGCTCATCAGCAGCTGCTACCGTCGTGTTTGCGATCTTTAAAGCCTGTTCTTCTTCGTCTTCACACAAGAACTCCAAGCAGCAGCCAAGAAGTAGTGCAACTAAGCCTCGTAACTGCGTAGTCTCCGCTGCTCCTCGCTGAGATGTAGACGTCTGGTTCTCCGACAGAGAGTCTAAAAGTACAGACAAGTTTGTCACGGACCCAACAATCTCTCGGACAGCCTTAGGACAGCCATGACACCATCGGATTAGCAGCAATAATAGCGACAGTTTGGCTTGAAAGACAACAGACTGGACTGCAGCACTCCACTCTTGTTCCGACGATCGTAACAGTCGGACACAGCGCGAAAGGAACAATCCACCAGCCACACCACGAGCTTGTGGGTCGTCGTACTCGGCCGGTACACGCAGAGCCAGTTCTTTGCAGTACGAACTATCAGCCAGCAGATTTGTAAGTCGATGACTTGCTTTCCAAGCCACCACCAGCTTGGTATTCAGTGTGTCAACACTAGCACTGTCATTGCACTGGAAAATGTAGTCAATATTCACCATAAATGCGTCCAGTAAGACTCGTCCAGCTGAAGACGGGACTGTATCGTATCCCCCGTCTCCAGCTGCAGAGATTGGCGGCGGCGGAGGACTCTGGATATGCTGCAGTACCGCCATCCGAGCGCCCTCGTTCTCTTCGAATAGCGCATCCAAAAGCGCAGAGGCCGCAGCAGCTACAGGCGATTCGTCACTCTCATTCCCCACGTCGAGATTCACCAGCTCGGCCAACACATTGCGTCCTGAGGGCGACGCGTACAGGTTCACCAGGATCATCTGCGCTCCGCCATTATGTTCGCTCATGAGTCGTAGCAGATCCAGAGCTTGTAGTCGTAAATCCGTCAATGCATCGCTATGACAACACACCAGTTCGCCTACTGCACCCATCAGCGCTTCTTGTCGAGCCACCAGACTCTGTATCCTCGCGAGTTCTTGCTGTTTACGAGCTCGATCGCGCTGTGCCATTTCATCCAATGACGACTCCTTCGCTCCTTCGTACAGCGCTGCGACTAGGAAACGGACCAACTGCAGTCCCAGCTTCAAGACGCGCTTCCTACGTGTCAACGCGGCGGGATCTTCCTCCTCGTCGCCTCCATCAATACCTGACAGTCGCAGTATCCTCGGGACGTGGGACTCCACGTATGACAGCTCCAAGAACAACGTTTGCGTCATGAGATTATCTCGCACCATATTGTTGACAATCTGCAAGCAATCTGCGATGACGCTACTCGCAGGACTCGCTCCAGTGTCCGTTAAGCCCTCGACCTCCATGATCTGGAATAATCTGGCGAAACCTTCTTCAAAAGCCAAGAACTGCTGCGCATTCTTGTCTCGACCAGTCAGTTGGCCAAGTACGGCTAGAGCTGCATCTCGAATATGCTCGCGACGGTCTTCCACGACTTCTAGAAGACGTCGAAGACCTTCTTTACACTCCAAGACGGCCTTGGCAAACACGCCAGGCTGTGCGTCTTGCAACGCTCTAATTAATGCGATTGCAGGACCTCGAATCCACGGCGAAGGGTCTTGTAACAGTGTGAGACTGGTTTGCATACCCCATGGAGCGGTTAGAGCGCTCTCTGGGGGCTGTTCGAGCAGGAGAAGAGCTGACGAGGGCGCGCGACTTACTATGGACTGCAGAAACTCGAGCAGAGCCTCCATGAGCTCGGTATCTCGTGGATCGGACACTAATGCCGCTAGCACGCCGGGCACAGCGGCATGGCCGAGTTCGTGCTCTTCAACTGTAGGTTCGACACCGCTGCGTTTACGACCGCCTGGGCTCCGACTAGCGTCAAAATTCTGGGCCAATGACTGAAGAGCACTCACTGCTTTCTTACGCTCGCCCAGCAGCGTCGCGAATTGCAGGCGCTCCACGGCCAATGCGATTTCCGCCTTTACGTCGGGTGATAATGCTGTTTGGACGGGGGTTGTGGCGTTCTGGGGGGGCGTGAAGCGAGACGCAGGACTGGATGGAAAGCCAGAGACGTTTATAGAAATACCGGAAGGTGAAGATACAGCCTCGGGCTCCGTGGGTGCCACCACGATGCGGCTAAGCAACGCCTGCATGGCAACGCACGACGAAGGGACTGGAGCCACGTCACACTGAGTTTGTATGGGACTAAAATTATTTAATCAAAATTAGAATTGACTAAACTTTTGGCACTTCAACACGCCAGCTTATTTTACATTTACACACCATGCGAGGATCACGAGTAGTCCGTAGGCAGCAGCCACAAGCTTCGTGTCGAAGCCAGCGAACACTGAGATGGGGTCGTCGACGACGTGGGTGTGGCTACCCGAGCTCGTATGGGTATCACACGTCGCTCGGCATGCACCACACGGACACTGCTTGTCGTCCGTCGACTTGGACGCAATAGATTCCAGCAGTTGAGCTTGAGTTGGGAGCGTCTCCCGGATGCCAGCAACTTCAGAGTATTTTGAGCACTTGAGGACGTCATGGTCGAACGACTGGTCTTTGCTTGCGTTGAATGCCATTGTGATATATTCTCCATGGCCCACCGCTCCCACCTGCATCTGGTAGTTTAAAAACCCCAACGATGACTTCATTGCGGCCGCCATGGACGCCATAGCCGTGTTCTTACAGGAGTCAAAGGTTGCACAGGTCATGTCCTTGGCTAGTGCCACATTCAGCTCCAACACCTTGACCTTCTCCTTGCCAGTCATGGTGTCCGGTCGGTACAGTAGTTAATACTCGGCCACTCGTGACTCACGAGTCGTGAGCCATCTACATGAACTGATCCTGCTCGGGAGAACAGACCAGACCGCACCATAAACTCATGAGGTTGGCGGCACAGGCGTCGCAACCTCCAGCGCTGTTCTTACCGCTACCAACTTGAAGTTCTCGGCCATCGCTTGATTCTGTTGCCACGAGCAGCAGGCGCTGTCTTTGTAGGCAGGGCATTGGATGATAAACTGATCGCAGTGAGGACACGCAGCCATGCCGTCTCTGCGGCATACACATGCGCCGCTGATACATTGGCCTTTGTCACTACAGTCGGTAGCGGTAGTACAGTTGCCACCACCGACAACACTCGGCCAATTGTCTCCGGTCATGGGCTGCGGTTCTGTTGGCTCCTTGTGCGTCTAGTGAATACACTTGTCGTAGTCTGGCTCGTTGTCGGGGTTCACGCACGTCTGCGTCATCACACACTTCTCGGAGGGCGCTGATGCTGTCGCTAGCAGCATGACAAGGAGGATCAAAACCGTGAATTTATTGCTCTAACCGCTTATCATTTACACCGGCAGCTAGCGTCATCATTTCTTCTCGTCTTCCTCCTTCTGTGCAGCGTCCGTCGTGAGCACTGCCGGTTTTTCAACAAACGGCGTGGCTCTAACAATGGCCCATTCCACTTCTTCCGGCTTGGTAACATCGGCCTCGAAGGTCCAGGCAAACTGTGTGTTGATGGCACGCCTGTCTTCAATACCTTCTCCACCATCCGGCGATACCAGCAAGTGCTCCGTGACGTCGTACTGCACTCGCATCGAAAGCCACTCGCTATTGACTTCCTCATCAACTCTCTCCCAGATATACGCCACAGCGTCCAGTGCCGCCGTATTCACGCTGAGCTGCTCCAAAATCACGCGATCTTTCTTCGACCCGTCTACTATAGGAGCTGACGGTTTGTGTAGCAAAGCCGTAAGGCTATCTGGTGTCGCCAACTGCTCTAGGAATCTCTTGGTCTCCTCCACGTCCTGTGTGTAGAGTCTTTGCAGCACTGTGTGGGCTGCTCGCTCTGCTCCTTGCACGAACTCCGGTAGATTTACTCGTGCATTCATCGGGAACTGGGACAAAATGTACATGGAGCTGCGCACCTCGTCGGACGAACCCGACACGAAGACGCGCGGGGTGTTGCGACTGTATCGCACAAATTCGGGCATTCCATTGAGCGCACGACTGGTTATTCCCAATCCGCGCATCGAAATGAACTCCGAGTTGATGCCAAACCAGTCGCGGGGCTTGCTGGAGAAACTGCGGCCGCTGGGAGGCCCAGCGCAACGACGCACGAGCTTCGAACAGGTACGAAGCATGGTTGATGCTTGTCGAATGAGCGGCGGGGCTTCAATTAAAACTCGCACGTGGATTGGATGAAACTTTTTAGCAAATGCAATAACTTATCCTTAATAATACTTTTAAGTACTACTAGTAAAATATTATTATTGGTATTAATAATACTTAAAAGGAAAGAATACAGTTTTTTCAGCTGGCATCTTTCGGAAGAATGACGATTGATGTAGTAGTGAAGTCGCCGCCGTCTCCGTCTCCGAACGCCACTGTACTTCTGTTGCTACACCACGACCACCACTTCCGCATTCTAGAGCGGACACTACGTGATTTTAAACACTTGGAACGTCGTTTGGAGCTAGAATCTCAACGCTCTGCCACGATCGCCTCCGTTCTCCCGCCAATTGAAGAGTATTGCGGCTCCAAACCGAGCTTTTACCCATCGAACCAGCTTGAAACGCGGTTATCAATTGCGCTGGAAGATTTTATTCGTCAGTTGGTGACGAATTCAGAGCTATTGGCGACGTCGACAGCTTTGAAAACGTTTCTAAATGGGAATCTACTGACAACTCACAAGGCGGTAGGACAGAGCTACAGAGATGCAGTGAACACTGGGATTAACGCCCAGGAGACAGAGATGACAGAGGGTAGAGTAACTGCGGGCTGTTCGATGGAGCACCAGGTAAGAGTCGAAGAGAAGCAGCTTGTGCTCTGGAGATTCGCGTCTCAAGGCTCAGGACTGATGTTCAGCGCCGAGTTCTCGAGTGCTGAATGTGGACAGAGCGATATCGATCCATACAGTGTCGGTAGTCTAAATACGGCTGAAAATAAGGAGAACGAGAGAGAAATAGCGCACTACCGAACAAACTGCGACTTCAGTGAGGGCGACTTTGTGTATGGACACTTTGTGGCCGAGAAGAGTGGAGTAGTGACGCTGCAATGGGAAAATACGGATATGAGCAGCGTGGTATCGAAGCCACTGCGGCTCCAAGTCAATGTGGTGCCGTTGGGTGCAGCGAATAAAGTATCGGAGGTGGTGAATGGACTGGATACTGTTGATACGGCTGAGTGGCTACTCGACTACGTGAAAGCTTCAGGAATTACGTCGGTGGAGGATTTTTATCAATGGGGAAGAGACGAAACTCAAGTCGTTCTTAGTGACGACAGTGAGGTTGACGACAATAGCAGAAGTGAAGGTTCTGGAAAGGATTATCAGATCGAGAAAGCTGTGCTGGAAGAACGTACCCATCAGCTTGAGACACATGTGGTAAGTACTTAAAAGTCGTGGTATTTATTATAATTTGTTTCTAAATTTGTTGATGTACTGTACACATTGTAGATGCACCTCGAAGAGAGTCTTTCAGCCTCGAAAAAGGAGCTGAAGAGCGCATTGGACCGTGTTCAAATAGCCGAAGAGATCTACAAGGCCAATTTGGAGACAATCACACAGCTCGAATGCTCGAGCGCTGGTAATCACCGGTCCAAGGTGTCGATGATCACGGACAAAACAGCTGATTCAGCTGCGGCACCACCCGCTACGATACAGGCACCAGGCACGCAACAGGAGGGACCATTCTCGAGCGAGCTGGAGCGTGTGCAGAGACTATGCGCCGATTTCCAAGAGCAGTGTCTATGGCGGTCTGTGGAGAACATGGAGCTCGAAGCTCAGCTGGCTGCGTCCCAAGTCGAGGCGGCTTCATGGCGTGACAAGCACACGGAGCAAGTGATGCAACTCGAGGAGCTGGAGAAGCAGAACCGAACACTGCGAACGCACAAGAAGATGCTGGTGCAAGAGGTCAAGCGTTTGCAGCCATACTCTCAAGTGAATCTTGCAGCGCTAGTGCAGGAAGCACAAGAAGCGCGGATGGTACAACGCAGTTTGCAGGCAAAACTGGACTCGCACAACGCAGTAGCAGAGACTGCAGTCGAGACGGGGCCAACGGACTTTGTTCTTGTCGAGGCATCCGACGAGGAGCCATGACATCCGAGCTAGTCTTCTGATCTGGACTGGTACGGTACCAGTCCACGCACATATTGCTCATACAAGGTACCAGTGGTATGTGTACCGTGTATGAGCAATATGTGCGTGGAATGCATTGATGACTCTATGACTCATCTATGGCAAGGTGGTACATGCTGAAGGTACCTCGTCAAATTGACGGTCATTTCCCTCTACTGTACTGAAGTTTGAGGGACAAGCCAGCGTCATCATCATTTCCGAATTTAAAGAAACAAACGATAAATATCGGAATGCCTGCCCATCCATGTAGGAAGGTTAACCCCTCTGTGCCTTTTAAAAAAGCATAATTTGTGTTTTCTACGTTTTTTAATTTGCTTTTCTGGGATTTGTGCCTGCTTAAATAATCCGAAGATAGTGTAAGCTACACCATCTCATCGATCACAGCTCTAATCAGTCTCCAATATCCCAGGCCGTGCACGTTAGCGGTCTGCACCTCACGACTGGGCACGGTGTTCCTTCACTTCCGAGGACGACGGCAGGCGCCGTCGAGGATCATGGAGCTGGGCGTGGTGGAGCTGACAATCGCGCTTCTGGGTGTCGCAGCGTTGGCACTGCTGGCGCTTTGGATATACCGCATGGTGCAGTATCGCAAGGCCGTGAGGCGCTCACAAGCTCGCTGGTTGGGCTACGAGCCAGCACCTGTACTCACGGAGGACGAGCTGGGTCTCAACTGGCCCACGCTCAAGCCTATTCTACTGTCGCCAATACCCGAAGAGAGACACGAGAGCGGACGTGTACGAAGTCATGTCTGGTATTTGGTGATAAGGACAGAAGACTGACTGTCTGACTGACTGTACTGCTATATAGGAGTCGGAGAATGACTCGATAATGTCGGCGCGGAGGGATTCACTGCGGCTGAGCTCCATATCCGTCATCGCCTGTGCGTAGTAGTTCGCGTTTGCTGGGTTTGTACAGTGCTAAATTTGACTCGTGTGATAATTTCTGTCCAGACGGGAGCTTTGACCAGCCTGTGGCCAGGACTGCCAAGGTTTAAGCCAGACTAGTGGCTGTAGGAGGGTGCTAATAAGCGGTGCCGGTGGTCGTGTGGCTCTGCCTCGTCTAAGGGCGACACGGCGTTAACACCCAGTGGTTAACAGCCAGCGGGAAGCAGAAGACGGACTGGGAATGTCGAGACCAGGTGATTGCAGCTGCGGTGGACCAAAGTATTATTTTGTACCTATGTGCTAGTGTGGATTAGACGTAAATGGGAACCACTCGACATCAGGATACGGGCTACGGAGACTTAACAGTGAGCGTGAAGCACGAGAATATTTATTGAATAATGGCCAACGGGCGTCTCTCTTGTCATCCCAGGACTTTTTTGCATCGCTTTCGTCTCCTGAAGAAAATCCTTCTACTACATGGTGGTGTATTACGTACAAATTGGAAGCCGCAAACAAGTGAATGGTCCACAGTGACGTACGTACCTGGAAATCTAGTTATTCAGATATTCCTGTCTCGACTGCTTGCAACTCGGTTTCAGAAAAATAGTACTACAGCTCAATACTCGTGAAAAGTACTGGTTTCATATCGATATTTCAAGAGCGACGAAGAGTTATGTTGTTATAATTAATACATGTAGTCCTACTAATAACACTTCCAATACAAGTAATACCATGAACGTAGTCATCGTCATCTATATCAGCGTAGCCACAAGCTCTCCAATATTTTTCCAAGCAGAAAACCACGTTTCTAAGAACCGGAGGAACGGCAAACGCGAAAATCTTGTTCAAAATTAAGTGGTCCAACTTCCGTATCGAGCCGACGGAACGCGATACCTTGTGAGCTCTCGTTCTCCTCACTTCGACAGTTCCCCGTGCTCTACTACACTAAGAAACGCGATCTTGACTTCAATTGGAAGCTCAAGTGGTCGACCAATGGGCTGCTGATGGAACCTCATAAACTTGCTGGCATAACTGGCATGCTTGACTGGCACGACGACGTTCACTAGCTCCAGTGAAAAATTTACTTCCAGCATCTGCAAAAGCGCATTCAAATCTGCTTCATACTGTGAAGTATCATATCCAGAGCCTGGAAGCCACCTAGTTGTCCTTACAGACACGAACCACACGCAGAAACTTCGAATAGACCGTTGGGGTTCATCAATTTTTGCGAAAGTGTGGCCACGTCTTGCCAATTACACGAAATAGACGGGAGCTTGAGCTCACAATTGCTATGTCGATAGTCCCGGAAGCCTTCCCACTGAGTCTCAACTCCAGAAGATTTGGAACAACCCTGGAGAAACGAGTCATCGCCAAGGCGTTCTCGTGGCCCTTGAAGCGACAAAAACTTCAAAGGGGCCCGCCAGTAATTTGGGCAGACCATCAGCACATTCACTTCCCATCGTAAATCCAATCTGCAAAGGCGTTATCACGTAACCTGGTGCTTCCGTCTCATCGGTATTGCAAGCAAAATCCGAATCTCTGCGTTGAACTTGACACCTCCCGCAGCCAGGATTCATTGCATTAGCCCAATCTTTTTATCCGTCATCACTAATTATCCGAACGAACGGCATTGGGGAATCAAAAACGTATTGACCGTGTTCATCAAATTGCCAGCGAACAGAAGCAAGTTTTCAAGGGTGCCCTGTCTCGTTCCTCAATCAGCTCACGAGGACTTCCAGTTAGAAATTTTCTGGATGAGGAGATGACAGCACAGGGGCGAACGTGTCTGCGTCTTCAAGACTCAAGCGGTTAACGGAGTCTAGATGTAGACGTTCTAGAAACGAGTGTTTACGAGCATATCGGAGTAAAAACCGTAAGCTAGCCATCTTCACCAGTGTCTTCTTTCTCTTTCGTGGACCTCCAGAGTGAGAGGTCCATGGTCATGTGCGCTATCGCAAGTGCCGAACACATGGACTCGAATTGGGCTTAATGCAGTTTGTCGTTTATATATACTGTCAAAGCTGAAAAGGATACGATACTCCAGAGGGTATTTCTTAAGTGTCTGTCGAGGTGTGTTCAAAAGAACAGTCATCAGCTAAGCGACTTTCTTTTTGAATAGCCGTTGTTGCACCATCACTTTTTCCTTCAAAGTGCAGGAAAATCTTAGATCGAGAGAGCAGCACGTTGTCTGCATCGCCCGATCGATAGCGTCAGAGCTCATCTCCTCAATATCGGGAATCATAGGTCCGAGCGCTTGGGCGTATCGCAGTGAGCCTGGATCAAGGTCTCTCTCTTTGTTGCATCTATTACAAGTGTCCCATTGCTCTTGAACATGCGTGTGTGCTGCTACGATGTCCTCAACTTCATCCAATGTTCCGTACTCGAATCAATACACGAAATCCAGCTGAACTGGCACATGTATATTAACACCGGGGCGGAGGGTGTCTGGGACCAGCTTGCTGCTAACTGTCGTCCGTTTAGCACTTAACACCACGGAGCAAGAAACCCCCAGCGCCCGTCGCTCTCGACACCCATTGGCATTTCCTGCGCACAATCATGAAAATAAAATGCTTGGCTGAGACTACAAAACAGAATATCCAGTGACATGTGTGATGCCATTTACTGTGTGTTTATTCCTAATAAAAACTTCCGAAGATCTGGTAAAAGTGTCTAATCTAGCATGTTCACGGGTGCTGGTGGGCCGCGTGGCTGTTTCGGCTCGACCTGCTCGTCCACGACGTGATTCTCCGTCGTCACGTTCTGCACGTGAGATCTCCTGATGCGGTTGTATTTCTCTTTGCTCTCTGCCGAGACTGGCGATACGGATATGGGCAGTGGCGTCATGAACCGGTTGGCTTCAAACAGAAACTGATTCAGATCCACCGCCTTCGTCACGTACTCGAACACGTCGCGTGTGGCGTCGTCCATCTCCTCGACGTCGAATCCAGTTCGTAGCGGCTTCTTCTCTGCTGGGTCAATCGCAGGCTCAAACACGTTGTAGGAGCTATCCGGATGGAAGATATACTTGAGCTCCTCAGTGCGTACGCCCTTGCTCATGCCGTTGAATGGGTTGCACAAGACGACGCGTCGTTCCTCGGGGCTTTCTCGACCTTCAGCTGCCAGAGCTTCTGCCTCCGAGTCCTTCACTTGTGCATCCTTGTCCTTGACTGTCTTAGCGGCCAACGCCTGTGCTTGCTTCTGAGCTTCTGGCTGGACACGACGACGCTTCATCGAGTGGCCGTAGCCATGTTGGTACAAAGGCTCGTCTGGAGTGACGACCAAGATGTCTGCAATGGTAGCCATGAGGTCCGACTGCATGCTCAGCTGGTCCACCACTGTACCCTTGTCTTGCTCTCGAAGGAAATCATCCGCTAGCAGAAGGAACGGCACTCTGGACGCCTCATCCCACACCCCTGAGTCTGCAATGGACGGGTTGTTGTCGTGCTCCAGACGGCCGTAGCCGTGGTCTCCTTCGATGATGACGATCGTATTCTTCATGAGCCCCTTGGCACGTAACGCAGCGATAAAGTCGCCCAGCATTTCATCAGAAAAGTACATCGAGTCCAGATATTTCTTGTTGTACCGCGTGTACAACCCAGAGAGGTCTGGCACGTCGTAGAAATTCGGGAGCGCCCACGGATTGTGGCTCGTGATACTGTACATGTCGATAAAGTACGGCGTCTGCAGTCCTTCCCAGCCGGGCAGAGGCGGCTTTGCAGCTTTCGTTGTGGTCGGATCCTTGGTCGAAGACGAAGCAGTTGACGCGTCAGTGGCACTGGAGTGGGCGGCGCGGTAGTGTCTTCCCTTTGCTGCAGCCTTCGGCACTTTAACAGCATCTTCAGTCGTGTTAGTGGACGTCTCAAGCAGCGCGTTGTCAGCGCTGGAAGCCAGAGAAGACGCATCTGTCACTGCTGACGCGTCTGTCGAGTTCACACTAGCGTTGTGGGCCGACTCGATGGCGTACAGCAGCATTTCGAACGACAAGTGGTCGTGCATACCCCAGGAAAAGTGATCATCGGGAGTGTTCTTGTAGTTGCGTGTGTCATGCAGCATCTTGCGGATCTTGCGGTCATCGACGAGCTTGTCGAAGCCGTTTTTCAGCAGGAACTTGTCCCAGTACTCCCACGTGAGATCCACGGCACTCCAAAAGAGGTTGAAATAGCCTCGTTGCTTGAGGAATTGAGGCAGTCCACGCACACTCAGCGTCGTACTGTACTGCTTGAGTGCAGTCGTCTCCGTACACGATGGCAGCATACCGAACAGCGTCGTCAGAAGCGTACGTGTGGTTTGAACGCACTGGGTGTAGTGCTTACTGTAGAGCACACCGGTCTTGGCCAGCTCATCGAACTGCGGAGTGGCACTCTTGCCAGTCGTCTCCTTCTTGGCAACTCCGCCCAACGCACCCACGTCCAGATGCCTCCACGATTCCATGTTAATGACAATGATATTGGGCTGCACTTTGGTGGGTTGCTCGGTTGAGACAGCGCTGGCATTGGTCGTAGAGTTCTCGACTACTTCGACAGCTGTACTTGTGACGTTTAGATCCAGACTAAAGATGTTATCGCCTTCGTATCCTGTCGTTTTCCGCCACAATAAAGCGCAGTGGTCGTCGTTGCCCAGCTTGTCCAGTTCGTACTGCTCCGAGACCCCCAGAGTAGACCGTAGCGCACTACTAGCCGTTGTACAGTTGATCTCCTCACGATGAATCTTCGTTGGGTGGTAGAAGAACTGCTCTGCTTGCAGTGTAAACATGGCATTGTTCATCAGCTTCATATCTACACCTCCCTTGCCATCAATTAACAGTGACGCTGACAGAGCTGCCGCAGTCATCAACAGACTAGCGACAATACAGCGACCCAGTATTGTCAACGGACCGGACTTGGTGTACGAGCCATAGCCTGTAGAGCACAACGACGAGCCTGACGCAATCGCAGCAGCGTATCCACTCGCGCATCCACTAGCGCCTCCACCTGGCAAATGACTGTAGCCCTGACTGCTCCGTCTTCGTGAGCGAATGGGCTTTCCTGCTCGATGCCAATAGGACGCAAACAAGTTGCTGACGTACGATCCAGACGTCGTAGTGACTGACGAGTTCATCGAGTCCTTGCGCACATTATAGCGACGATCAAAGCAGCAGCAAAGTGCACTTGGCAGTCGCAGGAAATCCGACGCTAGCGGCAACCGCCCAGTGTAAAATCCATACGTTAAAGCAGCCACCAATGCGAAATACACAGCCCAGGACCCCACCACTGTCCTTGTCATCACTTCCTCGTCCGTTAACGACGCCGTGAACTGCTTCATGTAGTTGAAAAAGATATTTACAAACGCGCGGTTCAATCGCGGGTGCATTGTCACTTGCAGGCAAAAATCCGCCACACTGGCAATTGTTGCCGCCACCAGAATCAGTTGCAACAACGATAAAATGGCCAGCGAGTGTATTGCGCGCATGGCTCGTGCCACAAGCGCGGGTCGATTGGCTGCTGCTCCTAAACTCAGCAGCGTTCGGTGGTTCGTTGCGACGCCAGAGGCCAGCGCTTCCATGCCTTCGTCTCTGAGGTCGTACTCGTTGGCCAATACTGGCATATATACCGGTAGAAACCTGGCACTGTTGCTTTTCTCCCGTAGAAAGCCACTGTTAGGGAAACTTCGCGCGTTATTGGCAGCTACGAGGCCTTGTGGCGTGAAATTGTCCGAGTCGAATAACACCTTGACCAGACAGATACATGTGGACGCCTGCAGGAAGATTGCCACGTCCTGCATCATCCCCACTACGAGTCCTTGTAGTATCTTGGGCGCTGGAAAACGATGTACAAAGCGTGCGAAATTTAGGACGCGTCCTAATACTGGAAGACCCAGAAACGCGTACACGAGCACAGCGAGCCACATGGTCTGGTACACTCTTTGAGACGCTAAGAGCACGCCGCGTCCTCTCCAATAGCGTCTTGTGCGGCCCAGCAGAGACGTGTCTGTGTCGAGTCCCATGGGCTTTACGCCCCGCGTGACGTCGGCCATCTCCCGCGTAGGCGACAGGCCTCGGTTACGACGGTAGATCATGGGCATTGTGGCCTTGATCAAATGTGAGAGTCTATTTGTTGCCTAGAACCGTTAGACACTGCGAGATTGTGGGTGTTTCGCCGATTAAGTGAGGTTTTAGGTTTGCCACTTTAGACTCCGCAGTTTTGGTCTAAAGCGAGAGGGGGAGTTTATAGCTGCCACAGCCCCTTGTCTCGTGTAATAACGCGTTGGAGTGGAGAGGCCTCGAAACTGAGCCGAGTCGCGTCTTCAGGAACGCGAATCTCCGTCTGCCGACCAGCGGTCCACAGCGGTATTGCTGTTGTGGTGTATGTGCAAAGACCTGGACTCCCCTCGGGATAAAGTGCTTCACAGGAGGTACCGGATAGTGAGGCACCATGGTCGATATTCTTCCCCCTCTAAAGCGATCGCTTCCGCCACATCTCTTGAATCCGGCGGTCACGTAGCAATCGTTTTTGGAAGGGTCGCCCCATACGACTGGACAACGAACAGACAGAGCGGTGTCCGTATCATACAGTGATGATTCATTGGACAAAACTTCACTCCTTTTGACGGTTTATTTCAACCAACCGTGGGCCAGAAACAGCTCTTCTTTAGCGCCAGTATCCAAGCGACAATGCAGGGGCACATCCCGGCACCGCTACTGCGCTCTCTACGGCGCTTCGCTACACCCGACGAGGTCGAAGATGGCGACAATATTGACATTTATTCCTCAATGGCGCACGGTGAGATTTTGGGCACACAACGCGGCGTTAAGTCCAGTGCAGATGATGCGTTGGTCACACAACAGGTCGCAGTGTGGGGACTACTGCGTCTGTCGCCGGAAGACGCCGATGGCCATTCCTTCGTACGTAATCTGCCAGGAGGCGTGGGTCAAATCGGGCGATTCGTGGTTGTGCGTGAGGAAGCCGCAGAAGAGGAGAACTGTCTCGGTTAGTTGCCAGCTAGAGAAGTTGGCGAGTTTTTTTTTTACCATAAATCTAATGTTTGTCAATTTTCTGTTTTTTAAACAGAGTCTGTTGCGCTGCAACTTGGGACAGATGAGTACGAAGGATCATTTGTGTTGATTTATGTGCTAGCTACGCAGTTGCCGATTTTGTATCACTGCAAGGACGGGGAGGCTGTGAGGTTGGAGATGCAAGTAGTCCAATGCCTGCATGCGCGCGATTTCCATCGTGCAATTGGCTTCACTCCTTTGCGTTGTGCAGTAGATCTGCATATGCTTGGCGACAAGAGGGTATTGCTGCATCAGTTAGAGAAGTACAAGGCCGCATCATGTGACGCTGACAGCTTCTACGTTCGCGTTGGAGTGACGCAAGGCAAGAAGAGCAGGAGTTTCCGCGTGCTTAATGGCCGTGGGGAAGACGTCACGTCTGCTGATACGAAGACTGTGGAGCTGGAATCCATTTTACCGGAGGTGGGTGAGAATGAAGACAGCGGAGAGACGAAGAGTAAGAAGAAAAGCGCCAAGAAACAGAAGAAAGGAGGTAAAAAGACACCAGTGAAGCCGAGTGGAGACGAGGAAGATAAGCTGGGCTTCTTGCCCTCTCTGGAGTACGGTGACATTGCAAATCTCGATGTACTAATCAGTCTCGCACCGTTAGATGCAACTGCCGATGTTGCTGCTCCCGTGATTTCGATCCCGACGCCTTCTGCCTCGAAGAAACCCCCTCAGCGCTTTCATGCTCACTGTGATGCATTGGTTATGGTCCCGGTAGACTCATCTATGGAATCAGCGCTAGCGTTTCTCCGTCAACAACTTCACGAACAATTGACAGAGGTGGCGAGCCGACTTAAAGGAGCCCCAGAGGCAGTCACCTCTGTGACAGCACACCAGTTCCCACTGGTCGGAGCGGCGTTCCCATTAACGGTAATATGCTCTGACTGCGAGAGTTTGGACGACGTGAAGACGCTCGAGAGCCTGCATCGCGCGTTTTTCCAACCATTGGACCAGCCTCTCTTCCGCGTGTCTCGTGGATGTTCGTTGGCTCAGCAGGGCGAATGGCTCGCCTCAAGTGACGTGCTCTTTAATGTGCACGAAGGCATCCCGAGGTCCGGTGTAGGCGATAACTGCCAGTCAGCTTTGGTGGATGGTTTCTATGGCTACTACCACTACCTCCAACAGGGTATGAACGACAAAGGCTGGGGCTGTGCGTACCGATCGCTGCAGACATTAGCGTCCTGGCTGTTTGTCCAGCACTACACGCAGCAGCGATTCCTCTCTTATGAGCAGATTCAAAGTGCTTTGGTCAAGATTGGGGACAAACCTGCGCGTTTCCAAGGCTCAACCGAGTGGATAGGTAGTCTGGAGGTCGGCTACGTTCTGGACGAGCTATATGGTGTGACTTTCCGCTCTCTCAGCGTCTCTAGTGGCGCTCAACTCCCCGACGTAGCACGAGAGCTTCTGTATCACTTCGAGACGCAGGGAACGCCTGTCATGATGGGTGGAGGCCAACTGGCGTTCACCCTGCTGGGTGTAGACTACGATCCTGATGCAGGGGTCTGCGCCTTCCTCACACTGGACCCACACTACACTGGCGACGAGGACCTGGCCACAATCCAGCACCAAACCGTAACTCTTGAGGGTTACAAGGCTGTGCCCTGCAGTTGGCGCAAGACTACAACTTTTGCCAAAAACAGCTTCTACAATCTGTGCCTGCCACAACGCCCAAGTGTCGGCGTCTAAAATTAGAGAAAAATGAATCAAACAATCGTACAGCTACAGAAGATATTGTATTTTTTCCTTTGTTTCTGCAAAGATGACGGAAGTCCGAAGGCTCGTCGAGTTGGTTGTGGTGGGTAAAATGGGTTAAGCTATGAACATGTTGAGGCAGTACGCTGGAAGCTCTTGTACACTTGGAACGGGAAATAGATAGAGAGCTCCTGCGCGCTTGTTTTTTTCGGCCAACAGAGTTTTAAACTCTTTTAAACAGATTTTTCTCTTGTCTTGTGCTTTTTCTCGTCTTGGTCAGCTGATGTGACTTCCCACCATTCGTGTGTAAGATGACAATCACGAGCTTATGCCGTGTGTCTGTTGGGTTTGCTATTGCGTCTGGACACAGCAGATGCTGCTACTGCCGAGGCCTGAGCGATTGCTCGGAGGTTACTCGACGGCGCATTATTAGCTGAGTTCTGCAACAGCTGTGCCAAGATATCCACCTGGTTCTTCTTGTTAGCTTTCTTCATCAGCGCCTTCGTGTTGTCCATGATAGTGTTCGTGAGACGAGGTGCATTACATGACGCCTGCTTGGCGAAACGCATCAAATTAGCCCACAGCTCTGCCTCTTCAGGGGTCTTAGAGCGCATGAGCATCATTGCCGGAGCGTCAGCTCCAGTGTCGTGGAACTCAAGGCGGAAGTCGCCCTGACTCATCTTTTCAATGTGGGCCACATTACGCAAGTCAATGACTCCACGAGGACTCTTCCAGTAGCTGCGTTTGTACATGAGCACTACGCCCGCCTGGAAGTCGAGGTAGAACCAGCGTTTGTGCCAGCTACGCATCAAAAAGGGGATTGTGTCCTTCAGCAGATTCACGTAGCCACAGTAGGGCGGTAGTTCCAGACCTGCAGGAGGCATAGCGGGCGGTAGTTCCGTCCGCAGAGGCTGCCTCAATACAGGGCCAGGCATGTGCGTCGTTCGGGCTTGTTCCTCCTGAAGAGCCTGCAGGAAGAACTGTTGCAATTGGATCTTCTCGGAGCGAATGAAGGTAATGGCTTGTACCATAATGACTTCATCGTTTTCCAGTTCAGCGAGGTCGTCGTCGTCGAGTTCAAGACTCTTGGCTTTGAGTCTATCCTCACGTTCCAACTCCCAGAGTGTGTCTTCGTCCACCTCGTTGCCATCGTCGTCCAGTAAAGTGAATCTGCCCGAGTTCGTACGTTGACGAGTGAGCAGGTTCCTGGAGCTCAAGATCTGTTGCTGAGATCCGAACGGGTAGACGGCGGGGATGAGAGTGTCGAACACTTCGTCCTCTTCTTCCTCCTCTCTGCCCAGCCAGAATCCTTCGCCAAGGCCAAAGTTCTGGCGGAACATCTCCACCGTATTGGCGTCGGTGATGTCGTAGTAGCCGTGCGACTCGAAGAACTGCAGTCCGTCCTCTGCATTGCCCTCGTACACGGCTTGTAGGTGCAGGTCGAAAGGAGAGTTCCTCTCGGCGCTTTCCTCACGACTCATAGCTAACACGGCGGGTTCGAGCTCGGGCTCGAGATTGTACTCGCTGCGCTGCTTCTTCGTCATGTACACGCGCTCGTACTCGCCCTCCATGACAGAGAGCTTGCGCGTCTTGGACTTGCTCTTGGGCATGGGGCGGTACGGCATCGGCATGATCCGTTCCCCTCGATGGTTCAGCATAACTGTGGGCTCTGGGCGCTGGGCCACTGCCAACATCCTGTCTGTTATTTTGAGGGGGGGGGTCCCTTTAAGTAAACCTGTGTTGCACTTGTAAGTTGCCGAAGCCCTAAAGATCCCGCGACCGGCCGGTGGTGTCAGGCACGTGTCGCTCTCTTCGCCCTTTTCCTTTTGAAGTGCGAAGGAAATTCGTCGAGGACGAGTGAAGTTTGTCCGGGCTGTAAATAAAAAATTTAAGCTCGCGGTGGCAACCCCCGACGCTTGGCCAAAGATGGCGTGTCTCGATCTGCACGAAGGTGAGCGAGGTGTCGACGCAAGACCGAGTGAGCTTGCACGGACCCTCCCCTGCTTCCGCTCTTCTTCCTGTGCTTCTCTTTCCCCACTGGCGGAAGCCTTGACGGAACAAAAACGAATGAGAAAAGCTCCCCTCATTTAGCAACGTAGAAAAGAAAGCTGCGGTTTTGTAAGCAGATCTTTCCAGAAGAAAAGCGCGGCTTTGGTGCGGAAACGCGCCGATTCCATGAATTTCCTAAGCGAACGGCAAGGGGACGATTCCTTAAAGGGCAAAAGAGGTTGTCAGTAAAGGGGATTAGGTCTAGGGTATGCCGACTACTGGTTGCAGATGAAGCTGTACTTGCAGGCGACACCTTGTGGCTGTGGAACTGCCAGTCGCTCATTAATAGCGAGCCTTTCGCTGACGAAACCAAGCTACAGATTGGTTATGCTGACGCTCGGCAAACGCGTGCGGAGCTGCCACAGATTTCGAATCGAAAGTTCCGATTCGGAACCCTGTCTAAAGATCGTCCTGCCGAAAGGGACAGCTGCGCGGTGCCATACTTCATCCAAGTCAGTTCGGCTTCACAAGCGACAGCCAACAGCCAAGCGACGTTACGCTCGTCTGAATGGCAAAACTGGCGCTGCTCCCCCAGCACGCAACCGCGACGGCTCAGAAGCAACCGCCGCAGCGCGTTGTCAGCCCAGGTGTGTGAGACTACATTGCTCTGGTAACGTTGCTTGCGAGGAATGATGTAGAAAGTTCGAGGTCATTTTCGCGGCGACCTCGCAAACTATGGTTTTTGTTTTATTATTAAGTTCTAAAAAGTACGGTATTCTATCTTCCATATGGAATTGCAGGTCAACAGTCTTTCCGGTGTTTTGTCCAATCATAAAGTAAAAAGTAAAACTGTAGCCACTGGGAATTTTAAAAGGGCTACATGTATCCCAAGAATTTTCAGATAATATGTAGCATTAATTACAAACTCCCATTGTCTGCATACCCTAAAAATACCCAGAGTTTCTGACCGCAGTCGAAGCTCAAGAGTCCCGGGAGGTTTTACATCAAAGCGTGAAGTGCTGAGCAGAAGCGCAGCTGGAGCCATGTCAATCGCCTATCTGGCTCCAGGCAACAGCAAGAAGGCCCGATTTACGGTAATAAAATCCTCATCCATGTAATTAGCTTCCGAAGACATGAACCTCCCTACGGCGCACCAGCTTCGACAAGCCGGGTAAAGTGCTGCGTATTATGCTAGATAAGTTTGCGTATTCGCTGGCTAAGTCGCAGGAGAGAGTTTCAGCTACCAATACTTGTCTAGCATTTTATGGGCTAGCGGATAAGTATCCGCGCCAGGGTGGATTGGTCAGATCACTGCTCCATAAAATTTTTGACGGGGCTGGGAATATACTGTAACGAGTTGCTATTCCTCCTGCCCGACTCGCTGGGCAAATCATATTGTTTATGTGCCTGCTGCGCTGTTTGTCTCTAGTCCGTAGTTGTTTACTTAGTACTTGATAGTACTCGAAGACGTCACTGGCCAACAGATGCTCCACTGAGCCCTGTGCCGGAACCTTTGGCTCCTACTTTTTGTATTCCTTCTCCTTAGCTAACCTTACGTAAGCTAATAGAGGCTCGTTCTTCGTTTTCGTTCTTCCCTCTTCGTCCCTGAACAGATAGTCTCCAGTCAGATCACCCACGTCCTCGCCGAAGCACCGTGACGTCCCGATGCGATCCAGATCACGCTCAATCTCAAAGCCGCTTGGGCGTACGCCCACGGCGCCTACCCTACTCGTGCGCGGCCACCACAGCGAACTCGGGTACTCTACTTCCCCTGTCTGGTCTCACCG